TGCTGACTGCCAGCTCAGAGCCTGGAGCCTGCTTCAGTCTGTGACTCCCTCTCTCTCTGACTCTCCCCTGCTCACGCTGTCTCTCTCTCTCTCCTAGAAATAAACAAAACATTAAAAAAAAAAAAAATCTAACAAGATTTCAAAAGTAGGGTAAATTGAATAAGACTTTTGCTTATGTTCAAGATGAAGTAAGAAGGACCACCCTCCCACTCAACAGAACCAAAAGCAAATAAATAAATGAAATTATGGTTTACTAGACACTAGACGATGATGATGAAAGATGCAAAACAAATGAAGTGAGCCCTGTGATTGTGCTAGTTTAGTGACCTGAGAGACTTTCCAGGCCATGGCACAAAGAGGGAAAGTGCAGGGATAACTCAGAAGACTCTCTGAGTTAAGGAAACGCAGCTGAGAACTGGTGGAGACCAAGTGAACTAGAACTGGTAGGACAAAGTATGAGAGAGAAGGCTACACAGAGAGAGAACTCTGGATATCTGAAATCTGTGGAGGGTCTCTGTATACAATAGTACACAAACTACTGAGTAGCTCTTTATCTATTAAAGAAATTAAATTTATAGTTTGGAATCTTTCCACAAAAAAAACTCTAGGTACAACTGGCTTTACCATTTAAGGAAGAAATAATATCAATTCTATGTAAACTCTTCCAGAAAATTAAAGAGAACAAAATATTTTCCAAGTAATTCTTTGAGGCAAGCAAAAACCAGACAAAACCAGACAAAGACATTAGAAGGAGGGAAAAAAGGCTTTATGAACATAGAAAATTTAAATTGTAAATAAACTTTTAGAAAATCAAATCTAACAACATATAAAAAGGAGTTTATCCCCTAAAGAAAGGTAAGGTAGGCTTAAGATTTGAAAATTAATCAATGTTAAGTCACCCTATTAAGCTGAAAGTGAAAAAAACAAAATGATCCTCTCAATAAATGTAGAAAATGCATTAGAAAAAAAAAAATCAACATCCATTCTGATTAAAAACTCTCAGATGGGGCACCTGGGTGGCTCAGTCAGTTGAATGTCCCACTTCAGCTTAAGTCATGAGTATGGGCCCCACATCAGGCTCTCTGCTGTCAGTACAGAGCTTGCTTTAGATCCTCTGTTCCCCTCTCTCTCTGTCCCTCCCCTACTCATTCTTTCTCTCTCTCACACACAAAAGTAAATAAACATAAATAAAACTCTCAGAAAACTAGGAATAGAAATATCCTCAACTCTTTAAAAACATCTATGAAAAATCTAGTTAGAATCATATATAATTCTAAAAGACACATGCTTATATCATAAGATTAGGAAAAAGACAAGGTTGCCCATTGTAACCACTGTGTTCAGCACTAAATACCAGAAGTTCTAGCCAGTACAATAAAGCAAGAAAATGAAATGAAAGGCATCCAGTTGGAAAGGAAGAAGTAAAACTGTACTGACAGATGAAAAGATGGTCTATCCAGAAAATCTGATGAACTCTAAAGAAACCTACTAGAACTGGATTTAAAAAGGTTGCAGGATAAAATTTTTAAAAAAATGTATTTCTGTACATTAGTAATGATAAATCAGAAACTGAAAGTAGAAGAACAATACCATTTACAATAGTATCAAAAATATAATACAATGGAATAAGTTTGATAAAAGATATGCAAACCTATATACTAAACATTACAAAATACTGCTGAGAGAAATAAAATAGCTACATCAATGTAGAGAATATACCTTTTCATTGGTAAGAGGATTCAGTACCATTAGATATGATTTCTACATATATTGATGAATAGATTCAATGCAATGCCTCTCAAAATCTCAGCATCTTTTTTGAAGAAATTGACAAACTGATTCTAAAATTCATATGAAGTGCAAAGTACCTAAGCTAGCCAAAATAACGGAAAACAAGCAAATTTGAAAGCCTAACAGCATCTGATTTTATGACTTCCTAAAAAGCTGCAATAATCAAAACACTGGGATACCGGTACTCAAGTAGATAAATGAATGAAACAGAATAGAGTTCAGAAACAGATCGACACAAATAAGAGCAACTGATTTTTAGCAAAGGTGCAAAGATAGTCTTTTCAACTGTATCCATAGGCAAAAATCTGAAATTTGACCCCTATTTTGCACCTTATACAAAATTTAAGTCAAATGGGTTATAAATCTAAAAGTACAAAATTTCTAGAAGAAAACATAGATGAAAATGTTTGCAGCCTTTGATTAAACAAATTTTGCTACATATGACATCCAGAAAAGAACAAATTGAGAATTTTGTCAAAATTAAAAACTTCTGCTCTGTGAAGAACACTTAAGGGAATGAAAAGAAAAAATAAGTTAATCTCCACTTCTCAAATCCCTACTACAAGAATGATTTTTTTCATTCCTTAGCTTGACAAACAAGTATCTCTTTGAACAGGTCTCTAAGGACTATCAGATTTCCCTTCTCAGATGGAGGTGAAGAATGGTGAACTACAAAAATGCTAGTTTATTAGGATGATGGTTAGGTTTGGAATTGCCTGTAGGCAGTTGTAAAGCTAATGCTTTATCACAGGGGTTGCCAGTTGAGAAAAGCCAAATCAAACTATCTTGAGCTAGGCTAACAAATCCAAATGGAACAAATGAAAAGAGACAATCAAGACCAACAGAAGTTAATGCAGAGAAGGTCAGAGTAGGTGGGAGACTCTCAAGTCATCTATACTTACCTCAGGTGGTGTCCAGGTATTTTGTCTAACGAGCAACCCACCCAGCTGTAACTGGCACACTAGGTCTAGTTAAAAGGAAAAAAATGGCTGGCTCATTCCTCTAAAACTCACTGTTTCTGGCTAACTCAGGTACCCTCCCCACCCCAACTAAACTAATCACCCAGTTTTTATCCCACACCAATCAGATGGTGGCCAGCTAGTCTTCCTTAGGAGTGGCAGATATTCCCACTTCAAAGCTTTATTTGCTTTATTTACATCTTCTCATTTAATCCTTACAACCCCATGAGGGTTACTATGCTATTTATACCCATTTTAGAAATGAGAAAACTGAGGCACAGAGAAGCTAAGGAACATGCCAAAAGTCAAAGATCTGAAAAAAGAAAAAGCCACGAAATGAACCTAGGCAGATTTAGCCTAGAGGTTGAGTTTTTAACCACTGGTTTATAAAGCTTTCAAAATGGAACTTACTACTTTTTTTTTTCCTCTACCTTACCTGCTCCTTAACACAAAAATCTCAGTTGCCCTCTGAGGGCAAATTCCCTAATCTCAATCTCACTGTACTACCTTGGTTCACTGCTCAGGTGAAGGGTAACAGTAGTCACCTAACTTGCACTCTGCTAAAAGGCATGTTACTCATAGCAGCCACATCAGGCTTTCCAAATCACAATTTGATCCTGTTACTCTTAAGGGAATTCCTCTCCCTGGTTCCGATAACCTGTGCTATGGTCCAAACTCAACACAGAGAAGACAGAGCCCTTCACCATCCAGCCCCATTCTTCCCCTTCAGGTCTACTTGCTATTTGCCTATATAAACCACATTCCGTACAAGCCAACCTTGTTGCAAGTCTTTAACAAAATATATTCCTAATTCCCTCAAAGCTGCAATACTATTCTCTTTGGGATAACTACACACTTCTTTATCGAGTAAATTCATTAGGACTTCAAGTTTCACCCCAAATAGCACCTTCCTTGAGCACGGCTGATAATAATCCTGTAAATCAGTATTTGTTTAGCCACGATGTGTCAGATAGTATTCTAAATCCTTTACATATTTAATACTCATGTAATCATTTCAACAACCCTGTAGAGACTCTGAGGCAAAAGAGTGCTTGCTGCCACTTCAGTGTATTTGTGGAATTTATAGATTTCTTTTCTCAAATTAAATTCTTGGAAGGTAGAACTGTCTTCCTTTCCTCATCTTTGCAGCAGCAGCTATGTCTGTACAGAGCCTGGCACATAACTGAAACGGGAGAAGTGCAATAAAAATCTATTTACAAATGGCCAGAACTGTGCCTCTAGATTCTAATGGCAAACTTGGAAACTCTTCCTGGACATCAGCCCTGTAATTTTCCCAGTTATGCGAGAAGCATAACAACCATGTTTAGTGTCTAGTAGAGTCCCATGTAAGCTAAAGGAACCTACAAGGATTTGCCAAACGGTTGCTTAAGTACATACACATTCTCATACATACCACCAAGCTTTTTGTAAAGCTAACTTACAAATTTCCATGCACCGAACAGGCATTCGAAAAATGTTAGTTGGTTAGCGATGACGACATTAAACATGTAAGAATTCTCAATAAAGGGATATGGAACTTACTCTCATCCCCAAGAAAGTCGACTTCTGTGGCCATTTCGATACAATTTCAGTTTGGAGCTTTCACCACGTTCGCTTTCTTAAAAAAACAAAAACAAAAACCCCCAGAGAACTCGCTGTCTGGGAAAACAAAACTAAAGCAACGCTCCGGAGGTTGTCAAGCACTCAGCAGTATAATCAGCATCCTACTCACGCGGCGTCAACAGCCCCGCCGCGCCTTCTTTCCCAGAGTCCCAGCCAAGCCCCTCACTCAGACGACAGACTTCAGATTTCAGGTTTGCTGGGGACCCGCCAAGGGAATTTGGTTCCACGTTCATTCGAATCCCCGCCGGGTAAAAAGGAGACGCGGGTGGATACAGACGTCCCGCAGGTCACTCGGGGTCGCGTCCGGCCACTTAGGAGAGAGCAAAAGAAGCCAGCAGCAGGCCGGGTGGCTGCGTCCTTGAAGGAGCGTTCGGGGTGGGGGCGCTGACTCCAGGACCGCTGGGAAAGCCGGGGCCACAGCGGAAGTGCACCCGGCCCGCCGGGCGACTTTGAAACCGGTGCCCCGGACCGCTCCTTGGAGACGGTAACGCCATCTGCGTCATGACGTGAACGTCAACGCTTACGTCATCGCGCTCCTAGAGTCCGTACACTCTATTGGCTGTTTGTCAAGCTACAGGCGGAGCTGCGATAACCTGGATAACAATGGATTGAGCCACTAGCGTGGCAGCGGGCAAAGTCGCTGATTTCAGTCGTCCTGTGGTGGAGCACGGTGTTTGCGTGTGTGTGTTTATGTGTGTTTGTAAAGAAAACTCCCAAGTTGTAAACGTAGGTAGGGCGTCAAATGCATATTTTAAATGTTCCCAGAATCTTGATACGTAGCACTTCTGGACTGGGAGAACGTGCTGGCCAAAAGGAGTGGGTGGAAAGTAAGTAAATTTCTGCAGCTGGAGGCGGAACCCATGCTGGCGGCTTCAGAGTCCACCACCAAGGCTGACCTGCAGGATTTTTGAGTATGGACTTGATGATTTACAGAAGCTAAGTACGGTACTGCCCTTCTGGGTCTTTAGAGAAAGGAAATACCTGTTTAAATATATAAATGTGTCAATAAGGCATGTAGTTACAAGCACTCCAAAGATCTTGCAAATTCAGCAGTTATTTCTTTAGAGCTAACTTTGCTTCCTCAAAAGGAAGAAAAAAGTTATATTGTGTTGCAAGAAAAAATTAGAGAAAACTTTATATTTCGGGATAAATTACAGTTACCAGTATTAAAAATTGATTTTGTCTGGATATAAGCCTGCTGAGGGAATTGCAACACTAGCAATAAAAATGTTAACTTGAAGCTAGCCACTAGTTTCAGTGCTTTCTAATGGATTAGTGGTTCTACCAAATACGGTTTTATTGAAGTAGTTTTACTAGATATGTCAAGATGTAGCTCCATTTGGCTTTCTCTTTAACAGTTTAAGTTTTGTTGTCCTGTACTCATAATGATATATAAAGGAAATAATGTTAGCAGAATGTATTGAGAAATTTAAAAAAACTTGTCTGACTGTGTCCAGTTAGGTATTTGAAATCATGAAGCTTTCTCCATATTCAGTATTAAGAGCATGAGGTGGGCCCTTCCTCTAAAGGCTGCTGTTAAATATGGAGGTATATCTAATAACTATAAAAAAAAGTTTAATTTAGCTTTGTGTCAATGAAGATTGAACTTGATCTGGTTTTGGTAGCCATGAAATTAACCCCAAAACTTACTGAAAGAGATTGAGTGGGGAAGTTTCAACTCTTTTGAAGGTCATGTATGATTTTTCTTCATGAACCTTTCACTAACTGCCCAAGCACTTGTTTTTAAGTTCTACATTTTAACCTGTATTTTGTCATACTGCGGTTTAATTTACACTAGAAGTTGATAATATATATTAGTGTTGGGAAAGAGTACCTTCTGGTTATAAATGATGAATGGTCTTGGCATTGCATTAAGTAAATTATCTGAAGTTGAAATTTTTATCTCTATACTTGAACTATTTGGCTTAAATGGTCAAATTCAATACAACCTGTAGTTTTGGGATTTGGGGATTGTCTTGGGGGCTTGTTTACAAAACTCAGCTAGTTGAATTTTTGAATTTCATTGGAGTTTTTAAAAATATTTTTCAAAAAAAAAAATAAAATAAAAATATTTTTCATCCTTATGAAATGAAATTGTGATGATTCCACTTACCCTTAAAGTATTGCCTCTAGTGTTGCTTGATTTTAAGGGTTCCCTTGTGTTCTCTATCCAATGCTTCATGCATTGTTTTCTAGTTTGTCTCCAGGCTCCATCATAGTGCCTGGAACATAATAAAGGTTGAATAAATATGTGAAGAAGGAATTAATTTAAAGAATTCAGTGGATGTGCGTGGAATGTATCAATGTAATTTGAGTACAAGGAATGAGAAGTGAGAGAAAAAAGTACCTAGTATGTGTTTAACCATTCTCTAGCCCTAGATCTATTTCCTCAATAAAGAAAACCCTTGAAAATTGATAGCTTTTACTAACATTAACTTATTTAATAAATTGACATTTAGCACCCAGTACTAAATGGAAAGCATCATAAAGAATACAAAGTTGGAACTTTAAGCTAGGGTGAAAACTTTATGGAACATTCTCTGGTATAATTAAATGCCATAAAATGACTTTTAAGAAGCTCTTAACAATTATGTTTATTTTAATCAGCCAAGAGAAGCATGGCCTGGAAATTGGGAGCTCTATTTTAAGCTTGTCTTTATTATTATTATTATTATGTAATAAAAATGATATGAAATCTCTCAAATTTTTAAGTGTATGGTATAGTAGTGTTAACTATATGCACATTGCTGTACAGAAGATCTCTAGAATTCTTTCATCTTGCCTGACTCAAGCTGTATTGAACAATAACTCCGCATTTCCCTCTCCCACCCAAAGTGATTTTTCTAAAACAAAAATAATAGTGTGCTAAAACAAATACAAAAGCTGTTTTCCCCAAAGAGGTTTTTAAAAGTATGTTATAAGCAAAATAAGTTTAGGCTGAACCATGTGAAATTGCGATTTTCTGCAATTTTTGAGTAATGGCTACACACAAATGTCTGCTCTGGCAGAGCAGGAGAAAATGTTGGTGACTTGACTTAAATGTGTAGCATATGCACAGTATTCTCAGAGTAGCTATGAAGTTCAGGTGCAGTGACTCCCTGGTAAATTAAACCCACAGATCCTATAGACATTTTGGTAACTTTCAGCAACCAAAATACAGAGTGATTCTATTATTTGGAAGTATTGTAGTTCTGTAAATTATTATCTTTTCTTGAGAAGTTTAAAAGTTTACACGATTATGTTATGAGTTTGCATCTAATCCTGTATAGAAATAATTAGCTCACACTGTTTTGGGTGAAGGAGACACTAAATGAAGGAAAATAGATTGATAAATGCTAGGATAGTTAAGACTGAACCAACCAGAATGATGATGAATATCTCTAGAACACTTAACCATATTTTATGATCTCAAGGGTCAGTTAGATTCTCCTGTTTCATAGTCTAGTTTTTTAAAGGAAAACCACTTAAGAAAGATGTAATTTTAATGATTTCAACAGAAAAATATTTTCTTAAACCTATATACTTTAATACAGCTAATCCCTTATATTTACTACATACATGCTAGGCACTGTACTAAATACATACATGTGTATGGATATATATATCTCCACTCACAAAAACCTTTGAAGCTAGATCCTATTTTAAAATTCTTTTTACAGTAACTTGCTGATGATTACAGTTGGAAAGGTTCGTGAATTGGAATTTGAACCTGGGTAGTCTGGTTCCAGTGACAGAATCTTTGACCACTATGTATATGCCTCCCAGTAGTGTAATATAATTTACATTTAGGGTAATATTATTTATAATGAACATAATATAATTAATTTACAGTTTTTGCTCATGACCAGTTAGCTTTTAGTTACGTTAAGTGAATTATTGCTCTATGTGTTCTATTGTAGTTTTTTTAATGTTTATTTTTGAGAGGGAGAGAGAGATGGAGGAAGGGGCAGAGAGAGACAGGGAGGGGCAAGAGAATCCACAGCAGCCTCTGTGCTCCATGTGGAACTCGGATCTATGAATGGTGAGAACATGACCTCAGCCAAAGTTGGCACTGAACTGACTGAGTCACCTAGGAGCCCTTGTTCTATTGTAATCTTAATGATTTATAATCCACTTTCAGATTGTTGCACAGTATTTATATTGCTGAATTACCCTTCGTTCTCCATCTAGACTGCTCAAACTTCTGTGGAATGATTAAAATTTCAGATGTTCACTGGTCTTTCAACATTTTTTTTTTCCCTGCAAAAATCAGGCATCTTGGCCACAGTCCTCCAACCACCACCCACAGAAAGTGTAGGCAGCAGGGCGGAGCCTAAGGTTGAGCTCTCTTCCGGTGAGTCCCACGGAAAGAAGCAAGCTGAGTGTGGCTGCCACGAACTTCCCGGTCTGTGGTCTTTCCTTGTTGTGCATTGTTCCTTCTGTCATTTACTGGCACCTTCGCCCAGTCTTGTTAGCTTTTTGTCTGGTAATTTATTTTTCAGCTGCTTCTGCTGACACAGTTTACTCCCACTTTCGGGCTGACTTTATTTCTCCATTTCTTTTATAAATGGGCAGGGGTGCATGTGGAAGCAGAATGCAAACTGAAAAATAACTGTTGTGGGAAACTACAGAGAATTTTGTGAAAAGAGGGAAAAATTGGAAATTTTCCTTGTAAAACATTCCGTTGAGAAAACAACTTTTCTATACTTAACCTTTGCGAGTGTTTTTCTATCTTCCAGGCACTTATGTTCTGGGGTTCTCTCTCCTTTCCCTTCATTTCCTTTTAAAGACCTTTCCGTAGTACAGATAAAGCATGAAAATAATTTAACAATTGTGACTTTTTTGATGAAAGAGTAATTTGAACATAGAGGTTAAAATGTGGAAAAACACAAATTAACAAAGATTCTTTTAAGAAACTTTAAATAGCCAACATTGAAATTTGATCACAGGCTCGGGATCACCTTGAATGAATATATTACTTCAATAATATTCCCAGTATTCATTCTGACTTTTTTCAAGTGTTCAGCATATGTAGAGATAGAGAAGCATCTATTGAGAAGAGGTGGTCAACATACTAATTGAGAGATCCAGCCATAAAAGGGACTTTAAAAAATATGTTCAAATGATTACTTATTTGTTAGTTGTAATATGTGTCTATCATAGTATAAAATTCAGGTAGTTTAAAAAAAAAGTGAAAGTGGTTGCAAGTAAACCTCCTTTTCTCTCTTGTCTCAGCCGGTTAGTTCTCTCTAAAGAGGTAACCACTGTCATCACTGGTTTCTTGTATATGCTTTTTAAAATAGTGTATGCATTCACAAGCATATATGCAAATTGTCTTCTTTTGTAACGAAATAAATTTACACTTTTTGCACCTTGCTTTTTATCACTTAATAAATTTTAGATATATGTAGAGCTGCCTCACTTTTAACAGCCCTAACTAGTATTTTATTCCATAATAGTACTATAATTTCTTCACCAGTCCTCTACTGAAGGGTATTTATGATATTTGATATTTTGTTATTGTGAACAATGTTGCAGTGAATATCTTTATACTTATGTATACTTACGTGATTTTGAATATGTGAAGATATAATAACTCCTAGAACTAGAATTGTTGAGTCAAAGAATATTTGCATTTTATTGTTTTGATAGATACTGAGGGATTGCTCTTCACTGATGCTGTGCCAGTTATGCCCCAACAATAATATGTGATTGTTTCTCAATGTCCTTATCATCATAGCATGTTATCAAACTTTTTGATCCATGAAATAGCAATTTATTGTTTTAATTTGCATTTCAACCATAAGTGAGGTTGAACATTTTTTTCAGCATTTAAAAATCAATTTATTTAACTGTATGAACAAATTAAAGGAGAAAAGCAATAGGATTATTTTTATAAGTGAAGAAAGAAACCCAACAATGTGACACATTCAATATGCATTCAAAGTAAAGTATCTTTTTTTAACATTAAATGAAACTGCTTTTATTTTAAACTTATTTTTTAATTTCTTTTTTTAATTTACATCCAAGTTAGTTAGCATAAAGTGCAACAATTTCAGGAATTGATTCTTCAGCGCCCCTTACCTATTTAGCCCATCCCTCTTCCCACAACCCCTCCAATAACCTTCTGTTTGTTCTCCATGTTTGTCTTTATGTTTTGTGCACCACCTGTTTCTATATTATTTTTGCTTTCCTTCCCTTATGTTCCTCTACTTTGTATCTTAAAGTCCTCATATGAGTGAAGTCATATGATACTTGTCTTTCTGACTGACTAATTTCGTTTAGCATAATACCCTCTAGTTCCATCCACATAGCTGCAAATGGCAAGATTTCATTCTTTTTGATTGCCAAGTAATGCTTCACCACATCTTCCTTATCCATTCATCCATTGATGGACATTTGTCTCTTTCCATAGCCTGGCTATTGTCAATAGTGCTACTGTAAACATTTGGGTGCATGTGCCCCTTCAAAACAGCATATCTCTATCCCTTGAATAAATACCTAGTAGTGTAATTGCTGGGTCGTAGGGTACTACTATTTTTAATTTTTTGAGGCACCTCCAAGCCATTTTCCAGAGTGGCTGCACCAGTTTGCATTCCCACAGCAATGCAAAGGTGTTCCCCTTTCTCCACATCTTTGCCAACATCTGTTGTTGCCTGAGTTGTTAATGTTAGCCATTCCGACAGGTGTGAGGTACTATCTCATTGTGGTTTTGATTTGTATTTCCCTGATGATGAGTGATGTTGAGCATTTTTTCATGTGTCTGTTAGCCATCTGGATATCTTCTTTGGAGAAGTGTCTATTCTTGTCTTTTGCCCATTTCTTCACTGGATTATTTGGTTTTTTGGGGTATAGAGTTTGATAAGTTCTTTATAGATTTTGGATACTAACCCTTTATCTGATATGTCATTTGTAAATATCTTCTCCCATCCTGTCCATTGCCTTTTAGTTTTGCTGTGCAGAAGCTTTTTATTTTGATAAGGTGCCAATAGTTCATTTTGGCTTTGGTTTCCCTTGTCTCCAGAGATGTGTTGACTAAGAAGTTGCTGCAGCAGAGGTCAAAGAAGTTTTTGCCTGCTTTCTCCTCAAGGATTTTGATGACTTCCTGTCTTACATTTAGGTCTTTCATCCATTTTGAGTTTATGTTTGTGTATGGTGTACGAAAGTTGTCCAAGTTCATTTTTCTGCATGTCGCTGTCCTGTTTTCCCAGCACCACTTGCTGAAGAGACTGTCCTTATTCCATTGGATATTCTTTCTTGGTTTGCCAAAGATTAGTTTGGCCATATATTTGTGGGTCCATTTCTGGCTTCTCTATTCTGATCCATTGATCTGAGTGTCTGTTTTTGTGCCAGTACCATACTGTCTTGATGATTACAGCTTTGTAATATAGCTTGAAGTCTGGAATTGTTATGCCTCCAGCTTTGGTTTTCTTTTTCTCTCTCTTTTTAAAAAATATTTATTTATTTTTGAGAGAGACAGAGGGTGAACGGGGAAGGAGCAGAGAGAAAGAGGGAGACACAGAATCCAAAGCAGGTTCCAGGCTCTGAGCTGTCACCACAGAGCCTGACGCAAGGCTCAGTCTCATAAATCTCAAGATCATGACCTGAGCTGGGGCGCCTGGGTGACTTAGTCGGTTAAGCGTCCGACTTTCGCTTAGGTCATGATCTCGTGGTTCGTGGGTTTGAGCCCCATGTCGGGCTCTGTGCTGACTACCAGCTCAGAGCCTGGAGCCTGTTTCAGTCTGTGACTCCCTCTCTCTCTGACCCTCCCCTGCTCACGCTGTCTCTCTCTCTCTCTCTCTCTCTCCTAAAAATAAATAAAAACATTAAAAAATAAAAAAAATTAAAAAAAAATTTAAAGATCATGACCTGAGCTGAAATCTGACGCCCAACCAACTGAGCCACCCAGGTTTCCCTGGTTTTCTTTTTCAAGATTGCTTTGGCTATTCAGGGTCTTTTGTGGTTCCATACAAAATTTAAAATAGTTTGTTCTAACTCTGTGAAGAATGCTGGTGTATTTTGATAGGTAGTGTATTGAATATGTAGATTGCTTTGGGTAGTTTCAACATTTTAACAATATTTGTTCCTCCAACCCAGGAGCATGGAATATTTTTCCATTTTTTGGTGTCTTATTCAATTTCTTTCATAAGCATTCTATAGTTTTCAGCATATAGATTTTTTACCCCTTTGATTAGATTTATTCCTAGGTATTTTATAGTTTTTGGTGCAATTGTAAATAGGATCAGTTCCTTGATTTCTCTTTCTTTTGCATCATTATTGATGTATAGGAATGCAGCTGATTTCTGTCCATTGATTTTATATCCTGCAACTTTGCTGAATTTATGGAGCAGTTCTAGCCATTTTTTGGTGAATCTTTTGAGTTTTCCATATACAGTATCATGTCTTCTAGAAGAGTAAAGGTTTGACCTCCTCCTGGCCAATTTGGATGACTTTTATTTCTTTGTGTTATCTGATTGCTGAAGTTTCCAATACTGTGTTGAATAACAGTAGTGATAGTGGGCATCCTGTGTTGTTTCTGACCTTAGGGGGATGGCTCTCAGATTTTCCCCGTGGAGGATGATATTAGTGTTAGATCTTTCATATATAGCTTTTATGATCTCGAGGTATGATCCTTCTGTCCCTACTTTCTTGAGGGTTTTTATCCTGTGTTTTGTCGAATGATTTCTCTGCATCTAACGAGAGAATCATATGGTTCTTGTCCTTTCTTTTACTGATGTGATGAATCACAGATTGTTTTGCGAATAGTGAACCAGTCCTGCATCCCAAGTATAAATCCCACTTGGTCGTGGTGAATAATTTTTTTAATGTATTGTATTCGGTTGGCTCATAGCTTGTTGAGTATTTTTGCATCCATGTTTATCAGGGAAATTGGTCTATAGTTCTCCTTTTTAGTGGGGGTTTTGTCTGGCTTTGGAATCAAGGTAATGCTGGCTTCATAGAAAGAGTTTGGAGGTTTTCCTTCCATTTCTAGTTTTTGGAACGGCTTCAAGAGAATAGGTGTTAACTCTTTAAATGTTTGGTAGAATTCTCATGGAAAGCCATCTGGTCCAGGACTCTTGTTTTTTGGGAGATTTTTGATTACTAATTCGATTACTGGTTATGGGTCTGGTCAAATTTTATATTTTTTTCCTATTTCACTTTGGTAGTTTATATGTTTCTAGGAATTTGACCATTTCTTCCAGATTGCTCATTTTATTGCATATAATTGCTCATAATATTCTCTTATTATTGTTTTCATTTCTACTATGTTGGTTGTGATCTCTCCTCTTTCACTGACTTTATTTACCTGAGCACTTTTTCTTTTTGATCAAAATGGCTAAAGGTTTACCAATTTTCTTATTTCTTTCAAAGAACCAGCTTCTGGTTTTATTGATCTGTTTTTAT